GTTTCACCTTCTCTTGTTTCACCTCACGTGCATAGCATTTGTCTTGGCAACCCGAGGCAGGCAAATATAAATGTCTGTCGGAATAATGTCCTAATCTTAAAGCTCAATTAAGTGAAGGTATGTTTTAGTCTGCAACATTAAACAGAATTTGAGCTAGTAATTTAGCGCCATTATTTTCAATTTTAGATAGCAATTCTTGAGATCGCTACTTAGAAATCACATGAGAAATAAAAAATGTCAAAAATGTCAGACGCTGTAATGATCCGTCATGGCAATGTCACCACACTGTCATTTTTTATCTTCCTAAATCTTAGGAAGCTCCAGATTTTCCGTGGAACAGAGAAATGTATTGTGAACTCTCTTGCAAATTTATAGGGTGAAAACAATGCGCCGAGCTTCACTAAGTTCAAACACGACAGACCAAGCGCAGGCATTGCACCTGGTCAAATGTAAAATTAGTAAATAAGTGTCTCAAGAATGAACGATTTATCACCAGTTTGTTCAGGTCGCAATTTTTTTACTAAAATCCTCAGAATGGCGGGCGATAATAAACATTAAATCATTCAATGTTTTCCGGTCATCCTCTCTTAATTGAGAGCGTCAAAAATAGAATCACTTTTCATTAAAATTATAACTACTGTAAAATAATGAAAATTTAACACAAGAAATGGTTCATGAAAATGAACAATACATATACGTGAACTCAATACAATAATAATAAGAGATAGAATCAAACGGACCGGTCCAGACTACAGGACTGGTTTGTTTCGTCTCTCAATTGATCAACGTTCGACTGCTACCGGGGAAGTTGCAGCGCAAAAGTCCATGCAAAATTCAGGAGCTCGAATATTGAAACTGAGATCAGAAAATACGCTGATTTTCCGTTGAGGAAGTGCAGTGCAAACAGCAATTTTTTTTTGCATGTGAGATCCATAAGCTTTTTCGTCAGGCTCATTGAAATGAATTCCTCGGGATTTTAAGCTCAAACGGCACGCTTTAAATGCTCGTTCTTGCGTGACTAACATTTAATGTAGTCAAGTAAAACGCGTTTCGTTTAAAAACGAAGATTAAAAAGAATCATTTCAAACACATGTTGTCTGTAGACGTATATTTAAAGTATTCAATTTGTATATGTGTCGTTTCCGGTTCGAGACAAACTGTTAAGCCTCTATAACCAAATTTATTCAGTTAATGTTGATCATTCAGAACATATTCAACTCAAACACATGTCGTTTTATGGCCAACACTAAAAACATGCGCATCAAATTCTCCCATATTGGCGACATACATTTAAGTCATGCACCTCATAAGTGCTAGAGTGCTCGATGGCCTACGATGAAAATATAAAAAACCAAAAAAAGTACTTTGAGATTATTCTGACTAGGGCTCTAGCACAACTAAGATATGCAGCAGATTTTGTTTAACTAGATTTTGTCTAGAAGGAATCGTATCAAGACACGAAAAAAGTCGGCACATCTCAAGTTGGGCGACTCAGCAAGTCTGTCATAAAAGCAGGCAAGATGTAAGTGCATACATGCAAGACTGATGAGTTCCGAAATAAAGTTAGGCCCTTGAAGAGGCTTATCACTCCTGGACCTTTGATTTCTTGCCTCCGGAGTCTCTTTGTTAGTGCGCAAGTGAGAGGGAAAGGGCGGCTGTGTTATTCAATTCCAGAGGTTCTCCCGAATGCGTAATATATCATACAGAGTAACTCATATTACAGAGTACCAATAAATATTTGAAATAAAAACTGAAACAAATTGAAAAAGACTTTAATTACCGTTATATATAATATATGGTGTCATTCTGTATTGGACAAAAAATATAACTACTCCTATTATTTTGGTTCTCTTTGTCCGCCTTAGCGAATTCTCTTGATTGAAAGAGCAAGATAAATGCTTTTTCTTGCCTAGCAATAAAATTGTCGAAGTGAAGATCACGCCATAAACATGTCTAGTTGTCTACTCATGGCGTGTCCGTGTCTGACGCTCAGGCCTTCAGGTTCTTCTTCTGATCGCTGCCACTTCTGCTGATGAGGCGCGTCCTGCGGATCAAGCTTTACTTCTTTATAACATCTGGCGTCGATTGGGCCCGAATTATAGACCGACATCGAACTGCCGCTTTAGACCCACCTCCAACTGTAGCTTCAGACCCACCTGCAACTGTAGCTTTAGACCCTTCTCCAACTGTGGCTTTAGACCCACCTCCAACTGTCGCTTTAGACCCACCTCCAACTGTCGCTTTAGACCCACCTCCAACTGTAGCTTTAGACCCTCCTCCAACTGTCGCTCGTGTCTTTCCAGACAATCGCTCGTTGATTGCTGTCATAAGGATTTGTCTCTTTATTTAATTTGAGTTAAATTGTTTTTTTTTATTGATGCATGGACTAATGGGAGCTTGGTGATTTTTTGATGATATTGACACTAATAACTTGCCGTTCCTAAGATGAACCTAGCCGGAGTGTGGGAAATCTAATTATTCAATGATCTACGTTGAAGCTTTTTACGCTGAAACCAGGAATAATGTTTAAAATAATACTGATATATGTAGCTTAAATATTTTATATAGGTTTGATGGAATAATGGCCTTAATCCAAAATTTTTTTGTCATGTTTTCTTCATTTTATAATTTATGGAAGCAGTCACGTAAAATTTATCCATGCCTGGAAAGTTGATTCAGAGAGTAAGGGCAAGACGGTGCCTTAATTTAGCTACTCTAGACCCTTAAGCCTCATGATGAACTGCTTTTAATAATTAAGGATAAGAATAACTCCTCAGTTATTCTTGTTCATGCATCAGTGTGCAAACATCCACTTGTCACATTTAATTTCCCATAGACTTCTGTTTGGAGATCGTGTAAAGTTGTTCGGCGATTGTCCACCCACGGCGCTGTATCTCGTGGACTGCGTCACCCCCATAAACTTGAAATGCACTCAAAGAAATAGGAGACTTGGTCCCAAATAGTGATGCAATTTTTGTCTTGTGTAGGTTATCCTACAGCGTTTTTGTGCTACGTGCGGAAAATGTTTCACTTTTAGGACAATATGACTGACGTATTTCTGTGAGCGTTACAACGTGCGTAAAGCCCATAGTTTTTTATGGAATTCTAAAACAGTTGCAGCAGAATCGGACAAAGAGGGAAACATTCTGCAAAATGAATACTAAAAGACTATTAATATAGTGCATTTGCATTTGCATATATTCGCGGTATTCTTTTTCCGCAGTAAAACAATATATGGGAGTAGTTTAGCGTAGAATAATTATACCCAAATAAAAAATACACCTTCATTTATCGGGTAAAATACGCCATCCATTCATACGGCAAGGGGTAAAATACGTCATTCTTTTCAACTCATTTTGCTCCGTGGAAATTCCAAATGGCCAACGAATGGTCATGGCTGAAGAAAAAATCCATTTGTATTTTATAAATAGTTATTTCATTTTAATACTTTTTCAGACTTTCCTAGGCCAGCATCCAGATGCCTACATGACTTGCATCATGGATGTGCTCCAATTTATAAATCCTTAATTAATAAATGGTTGGCAACCGATTTCCTATTTTGTTCCTTTAACATAGCGAAAACCTGAACGTACAAACTGACACTCCTTCCCCCAGACTCAGGAGGACTTTCACAACTGAATTTATTATCTAAGCGAGATTGAAATTTGAGTAGAATTTCCTAACGCGAATTGCCTTCTCAAATCCACAGGAAATCCAATTGCCGACTTCCCAATCCGAATTGTCTTGCTAATCCTGAGCCGAGTAGCAATCCCAAAATCAGGCCGACAATCCGTACTGGACAATCCAGGGCGCTAATGAAGACCCCAAGATTGTAAAAAAACTGCAATGAGCTCCCGCAACTTCTTAAATTCCCCAAAAAAAAAAGAAAATGCGAATCTCTGCCGCGGCGAAGATTCGCGGCAAAACTAGGAAAAAGAAAAAAAATCGGCCAGGTTTTTCTTTGTGTAAATATAGCGTCAAGTGTACTTGTGTTGGTTTCTCTACAATTTTGAACTTTTGTAATTTTGTGTATGGTTATTGTAGAATTTTTATCAATATTCCTGAAAATTAGATGGTATAAAAAATCTCCACCGATGCTGAGTTCGTTAAATTAATTAATTTATCAGCAGAGAGTAAAAATTTTGACTTATTTAGACAAGCGGTTATGAAGGCACTTGAAGTATTATAATCCGAACTTAATGAATATCCATCATGTTCACTCTTAATACAATATTTACATTATTGCCTGATAATAGAAAGACAACTTTACCAGATTAATCAAATATAGAAAAGGGAAGACATTTTTTGAGTGTTTATTAGTTTAAAAACACTGCCGAGATATCATTTTGCATCGGCATCGTCATTTCATGTCATCATGCAGTTCTCCGCAATGATAGTTAGCAATTATCACTGAACCCTCGCTGCTCTGAATGGCCTAATATCATCCAACATTTACCCTTCCAACAAACATTTACCGCTCGACTTATGAAGGTTTTAATTCATGAGCCTTTTTCTGCATATTTGTTTATATCGTTTCGAAAATACTCAATTTTTTGCACTGATTACATGAAGAAAAATGCATATTGCTATAGCGTAGCTCATTTTTTCATTCATTCCAGTGGCGAATGCTGAAACACTATAGATAAGCATCCTCCTTAAGCTACATCTTTTATCTTACAGACGAACAAATGATGAGCTGAAGATCAGGCCGGGAAGATGCCGACCAGAAGAAGAGGCGCGAGGAGCTAAGTAGAGATCTCTGGACTGCAGTCTAGATCATGGAGGAAGTTTCGATCAAGCGTGATGGCTTATATCATACAGAGCTCGAAAATCGTGACCGAACTGATCTAGAAAACTCTAGATCCTTGATGGATTTGCAGGAGAATCGGGGAAAGATTGAGAGAAAATTAGTGGCAGAATTTTACTCCCCAAAAGCCGCTGAAGTCGAGCAGAAATGGTCTTTACATGAAAAGGTTTCTTCCCATATTGATTGCAATTACATGCATTTAAATCAAGGAAGGCGATTTAGTTTCGACGATATACTGGCGCAAAAAGAAATCTTGCAGCCTGTTCCTGAGCTCCGTAAAAAGGAAGAACTGTCCCAAACACCGACGCATTATGTAGCTCCTGCTCCTTGCCTTTCTGTCACAAGAATTTCTGAAAGCTCTTCAGTAAATATCAGAAGGCCTTCAAAAATTAGAGAAATACCCGCGGCGGGAGTTTCGCTCGACATCGTCTCTAAAGGAAGCCGGATGAAGGCTTTACCTTCTGCAGATGCTAAGACTGCAGAAAAGACCTCACGTGAGCCGGAAAAAGACCTTCCGAGTCCGACTTTCCCGAAACCTCAACAGCGATATTCCCCCCTCCCTTCTCCTCATCGAGAAGCTCGCAAACGAAAAGTCCGACCTTTTCTGTGTAAATCTTGCAATGTTTCTCACTGGTGCATTAAGAAGACCCAGGCGAGCGTTGCTAATGACATGGTCCTCGACAAAAGGACCATGTCCGTAGACAAACCAAACTCCAGAAAGAGATTTTCCGTGAACACTGGAAACAATCGTCAGAATTTCGATCCCGACAACTACAGGCCAATAAAAATCGACTCCGATGGAGAAGAAACGCGAGAACAAAGCAACAACAGCGCCAGTCCCGTAAAAGTTCTTTTCCCAAACGAACGAGATCGCGATCACAGAACTGGACGGGACTTTTGGACAAACCATGAAGAAACTCACACCTTCCCGAAATGCGACAAGAATCTCGAAGTTCCGAGAGTTACCGGAAATGAAGGAACCTTATCAAGGCCTGCAAGTCTGCTACGCACGGCTCACCCCTTCAATGGTAGCAGTTTTCTTGCAAAAATACTAACTGATTTAATTACCCAGGTCTGCTTAGTGTCTGAGATCCGGAACCGCCCCCAAATGAAGGAATTAGCTTATTTGCAAAATAGGGAATGTTTTGAAAGCTACTCCCGACGGTCGAAGTCAGACGCTGAATACTTGCCCCTGAGCGCCCGCGAAGTGCGTGGCGACAATATATCAGAAAAAGCCAATGAGCAGACGAGCACCAAGATGAATTTAATAAAAAATTTTGACCTCAGTAAAGACTCAGAAACGTCTGCAAAAGACTCATTTGAAGACGCCGTCACAAACCAATCGGCTTGTGCGAATATTTGTTCGTCTTGCATCGTCTCGAATGAAGAAAATTGTACCAAGAACACAAGGCATTTTACAGCGCGACAAAACTTGAATAGGAATCAATGTGACAAAACTCCATTGCAATCCTGTACGGAACAAAAAAATAAACAGAAAGAGAAGCTACTGCTAATAAAAAATGGAAATTCCGCTGAACTCCGTGCCACAAAAAAATTCTCTTTAGTAAATAAAAGTTTTGAGTCTGCAACCAATGACGAAACGCTTACAAAATCTTCGTCGAATTTCTCGTCGAGCAAAATGACAGAACAAAAAGTTCCCGCTTCACACCCACAAAACGTTCAGCCCACAACAACCCAAGTCACGAGAGCCAATAAGACCAGAAAACCAAGACCAAACCAACCCGTCTTCCCGCCTCTCAGCTCAAAACTAAATCTCGGATACTGGAGCACAAAACTCGGATCTCTGCAAATTACCGCAATGAACATTCTGCCTATTATACTTATGTATGCGGTTGTGCTGGGGGTTTTAATCCCAACCGGAGTTGAGGGACGGGTTGAACCGTGCCAGTTCAACCGGATGTGCAAGTGCCGCTACGACTTCCCCTCGGATGACGCCCCTCGGTCGCGGATACCCTCGCCCATCGAAGTCATTTGCATCGGGGTTCCTTTCGCCAAATTTCCAAGTGAGTGAAAGTTTTTATTAAGCGATGCTATGTTTACAGCATATTAGGCTTCAGTTAAAAATCAAAAAAATTTTAAAGTGATCAGTCATCTGAAATAATTAAACGTCTATCATATTCCCCAACAAAATTTAGAAATGTATGGAATTGAATAGCAGCGAGCCGATAGCAGCCCCTTAAGGCATCACTTCCCCAGCATCACTCCCCTAGCATCACTCCCCTAGCATCACTCCCCTAGCATCACTCCCCTAGCATCACTCCCCTAGCATCACTCCCC